CTATAAAGTTTCAGCAAAAATAACTTCAGCTGTATCCAAGAATGAGATTAGGGAAATTTACACTACTTGATAATTTTTTCCAGTGTGTTTGGTTGGGGTTTGGGCTTTTTTTTTTTTTTTGGAAGCCTAGGAAATGATACACAAAACTGACATTTAAAGAAGCCAAGGCCGTAGAATCAAGAACTCAATAGTTAGGAAACCGCATTACTAGAGCTGCTTGCACCCTATTCTTTAATCTACTTCATATGCAAACAGTTCAGTTACGAACTCAAAGTACAATTTTTGATAGGGCCCAATGCCTCAACCACCCCAATGACAATTATGTTAGTTGTAAGAACAAGCCAGGGCACTGTAATTTAGAAAAATTGATGTCTACAGGAAATAAACTTTGTCAAAGTTGAATGAATAAGGCAGAAAACAGCAAGAAAAGCAAAGCAGTCCTGGCTGAAGCAGCTGAACACTGCACTGGAGAAGAGGATTCAGCTCTGCTGCTGCCTTGGACTGCTTGGGAGCTACTGAAGTAAATCATCAAACCCAAACTTTTCACCATCAGTTACTGATTTCTTGCATCTCTCCTCCATACCCAACACTGGAGGTTGGCAACGTAAGATGCTGAGGCACTCAAAAGTTGGTTGTTTCCACTGAAACTTGGCATTTTGGTGGTCATTGGACCTTAAATGTGCATAACTTGCTGTCATTTTGAGTCATCTCACAGTCCCAGACCAACCCAAAACCGGTGGCTGTGCTGGACCTGGACCTCCCTGAGCCTCACTTCTTCACCTGTGAACTGGGCCAACAGGGGAACTGCAAAAATATCATGCAGACCCACAACCTTGTATGTATACATAGGCAAGCGGAGGTCAGGGGGGGACTTGTATATTACAACAGCAAGTGCCATATGAAAGCCCATGAGTAATTATTAATTCCATCTTCAAGCATGGTTTGAATACAGCTCAACAAACGAAGCACTGAAGAATGAGGGTAAGATAAAATATTGACTAGCTGCTCCATCATTGTCTGGTCTGTGCCCTAGGCAGCACAAGGGTATTTGGGAAAAATCAGAATGGAAACACCTAATAAAAGGTTGGAGCTTTAAGGATTTGAATTTTCAAACAATCTTTTTTTTTAAGATCATTTTAATGCAGTTGTATGCAACTCTGTTTAGAGGGATAGTCAAATATAGACATGCACATATAGAGCGGTTATATAGGCACATTATTCTACAAATATACAGACATTTATCTGTGTGTACCTAGACTTTCCTAAAACATAAACAAGCATCTGACACCTAATGCAGCCCTTGATGAGACTTGCTCTCTCTTCTCCGTAGAGTACCACCAGTAATTATTTACCATTAGTTCTTAACGGGAAGAGATTCAGCTGGGATGTAGTAAACAAGAAAACTGTATAGATTGTCCAATATAGCCTGGCTGGCTCTCAACTGAGGCAAGAAGTGATTGGATCACACCTCCTGGATATTTCAATCACAGTTTTTATCACCGGGGAAAAGCACCTTATTAACCTGTACTTGGTCAGGTCCCTTCCATGGCCGTATATGCAACGCTGTCAAGATCATACAAGTGCCCCTTCTAGTTCATGTTACCATGCTTCGAACACTAAAATGCTGCGGGGTTAAACGACTAACAAGACGGAGACCCGAAAGGTTCATTTAGACTAATGACATCTTGAACTCTGCTACCTTCCTACCTGCCATAGATTTTTTTTTTGCAACAGGGTAAGGGCTCCCTCTTCCCATGACAGAAACATTTGACTGTGGCAAAAAGATGGTCCTCAAAGGCAACACTGGTGATTCGCAAGCAAAATTGTTGCATGTGAAAAAAAGAAGGGAAAAATCCTCCGCGTGGATTATTTCATTACTTTAAAAAAATAAAGCATCCCAAAGAAAAAGGTCAAGTTAAAACTGTGGTATTTTAAAGATGTGTGCCCTACCACTGATACATTTTCTGGCACGTCTCACATCATCACCCCATTCCTGTGACTCCTCCACCATCAATAGGAGTTGTGTGCATCAACCCAGGGAGCCTGAACACCGGGCAGACCGTATGTGAAAAGCACCATTTTTTTCGTTACGGCAGAGAACTAAAGTATGCAACTAGCACATACTGTAAAGGCATTCAAAATATGACAAAAAAATTGTTCAAATGCTTTCAATCTGCAGAAAACAAATGCTCTCTTTACTGACTGCTCTGTGGCAAACTTCTAATTCCATCCAGAAAATCCAGCATTCCCAGTCTGGGCTAACGACCATGCTACCAGACATGAGTTTATGTTTTTCATGCACATTTCATGTATTCCCACATGCTGTGTTGCTGCCAATAATTTATGACTGATCTGCACCCAGCCTGCCCTTCAGCATTTTATTTAATCTCTGCAACAGTGATTTACAATGACTCATCATTAATACAAAAATGTACATGTGTGTTAACAAGTTTGGAAGAATCTAAGGAGGAAGGCAAAATTTTTTGCAAGTCGTGGCTGAATGACTTACGAGCCCGCCGAAGAAAGGCAAAGCTAACCAGAAACGATACGTTAGCTCTTCCCTGAAGCAAACAATTTAGGCAAGAAGAATTTCTTCTCCTGCATACTGCCTTACAAGAAAAGGGATTGAGGAAAAGGTTGGGAGAGGGTTGCCCATAGCCCCAGGATTTGGGATGGGTTGAGTAGCTTGTTGGTCACCCCATGGCTGGATGTTTCCTGAGGATGCACGTGTGGGTGTGCGACCTGCACACTCAGCCACGGCCTCAGAGCCTCCTTGCTCCTGAGCATCCATTACAAGAAGCAGGGGCTGAATTACCATTTTGTGGCATCTCTGCCCACCACATATGGATACCTGTTATTTAAGAAAGCCCCAACCGGCTCTATAGCGTTAAATCTTCGTGGGGCTGGGAAGGGGAATTGTCTCAATAATTTATACAATTGTAACACCACAGCAGAATTACCAAAGTAGCTCAAGCAGAGGAAGCCTGCCCTACATCAACAAGACTTCAGTTATAACGTATTTTGACCTACTTTTTTTTTTTCTCCCTTGCACATAAGGAACTTATAAAAACACATCTGACACAAAGCCAAAGTAAAAACTCCTCAAATCTGAGGTGAGATGGGTACTGAAAAACACCCCCTGGAAAGTCACTTGGGAGAAACTCCACCAGCTTTAGTTCAAAGCATCCCATGTTAATCATCTTGGAAAACGTCTTTGATGGCCCATCCTAAACTGACATAGTTGCCCATGCCAAATCCTACGCTCCTGGAGCCCTCCGAAGCAGCACACACTTGCTCCACCCATCGTTAAATAAGACCCCTGACGAACACACAGAGCTTCTCAACTGGCCAAAGTTCCTATCATTAAACTGAAGGACAACCATATAAATTAGGGTATTGCCTCAATGAAGGTTGGAGGACGTAAAGCTGAAGCAAACACTGTTTTTTCTGGCTGAGCGAAAACACTGTGGGTTACATTTCCTTATAACACATATTTTATGTTTAGTGCCTTTTATTCCTCTGTTTTAAAGTAAGTATCTTGGAAGCATACTTCACATACACTAAGTATTTGGTATTTGCCTTTATTCAGTGTCTTAAAGGGCTTCAAAAAATTGATCTCCCAGGGCTGCTGTGGGGTCACAGAAATTGATAACCCTTACAAGCTATGCTTATGTGAGCCCGCCTGCGTCTCCCAGATAGTGCACTTTGTAAATTAATCCTCCAAAGGCAAATATATTGTAAGTAGCTTGTTATCTCCAAAGTACTAAATTGAAGAATACATGGGATTATATTGACAGAAATTACATTTTCTGTAATGGGGTTTAATATATCTGAAATCTCTCCCATAGGCTCCTACTCTCTCTAAGAGAGGAGGGTTTGTTAATGTAGGTGCAATGGACATCAAGACCGAATTTATTCACTAAAATGGATTAGGCCATGTAATCAGAGCTTCAGTAATATTAATCTCTGACACTTATTGAACAGAAAAAAAATACTTTTGTCTGCATACTGGCATTCCTCCCTCCTTTTTCCCCAGCAGGCTCGCCATTTGCCTTGGCCATTTTCTGGGTATTACTTCAAAGAGGATAAGGTTTCCCATCATAAACACTAATCTAAAATATTAGAACAATTAATTAGATACACTTAGTTTTACAAGGTATTAGATTGCAATACACTTCAAATATGACACTTGTTCTGGGATAGCGGGAGAAACCTGCATTTCGATGCAGTAACAAAGAGTAATAAATCAAACTTTTTTTTAAGGGTTCGCTGTTGTGTTTTTATACTTAAATTACAAGTAATTTTCACTGGTTGCCTTCACCACGTCCTGGACAGTTAGCAACCCCAAATCCACTGTAGAAACAGCACAGATCCCAATTTCCTTCAAACAAATCGCTACTACAACAGATCAGGGGCTCCAGCAGCCCTTAGCTAGAATAAACAAATAAAATTGCTCCACACCGTACTTCAGCAGCAAAGAGCCAGATTGTCCTCAAAGTTTATTCAAGCTTTCCAAAAACTGGACTTTTAAAACAAATTGGTAAAGAGATAGAAGGATGCCAGTCAAAAAGGAAAACCCCACTAACAACATTAAAAAAAGCATGACAGCATCCCAAAAATAACAATACGCTCTGCAGAAACAGGGCCAATTGCCCCTTTTTTTCACCCAACATCTCAACCTCTTCCAAGACCAAAGTTCTCAAAATGGATGTGGCTTCCTGTTGAAGAAGACACATCCTCAGCCAGGAGGACTGGTACCCAAATGCAAATACACTGAAATCTGCCCAAGCGATAGGAAAATAAATACGGCTTGTTTTCTGCGGTAGCAAACCTCCTAGTTCCCATAAGTGAAACCACTCACCCGGCTATATTCCTTTTGCATCAATAAACTGCCGGGGGGAGGAGGGGAGCAGACAAGGGCAAGGTGTGTCCTCAAAAATGCAAAGCGTTAGCCGGAGGGTGCCAGTGGCCGTATAGAAACACTAAGGAAAATTACTTACCAATTGTTCACTTGAAGTATAGTGAGCCCTGTGTCTTGTGCCAACTGCTTTTTCTGTTCTTCTGAAGGGTAAGGGTGCTATAAGACACCAAAATAAATATATACATTTAAAACAATGCTTTTTTTGCCTACTTTTTATTGTAAATTAAAAAAACCCAAAAACCAGAAGCGTGACATCTATTATTGAAAGGTGAAAATGCTGAGGTGTGTCACTCTTTTATAATTATTAATGGGCTACTACATCACTTAATTAATGGCAGTAAAAGACAAGCCAATTATAAAGATTAGTGAAGTGGAGAAATAACTGCTTAGGATACTGGCAGTACCTTGATACTCACGAAGGATATTTGTTGCATTAAGCTGAAAGTTTTTGCACTTGTCGCGAATGACCGATTAGAGTCAAATCATTTTTTTTTGTTTTCTGTATTTCACAGAAGAAATACTTCTCTGTAAAACTAAAACATGCTGATATTTTCTGAGATAGTAAAGACAAATCTTGCCAGTGCCCCAAAATAATTTGCAAATAAGATCAGCATCCTGAACATAAACAAACGCCTGGGTTTTGAACACAGGCCAACGCAAGGTCAACGATCAGCACATTTTTGCCTGACATGAACATAGCTGTGCTGCACTAATCCTAAGAGACAGAAAATAAATACTGGTTTAATTGAAGATAATGTTAAAATTCAATCATAAGTTAAGTTTCTTGTGAGAACTTGATTGCTTTCTCAGAAAATTCACTTCTGCATGAATACAGATTGCTTAATACATCACCAGCAAAAACCACATCCAAGTTTGAAATTTAGAAACACCATTCCTGTCCTTTCCCTCCACGTAAAAACGTCACTGTCCCAAAAGGAAACGGACAAATATTGCAAATGTAACGATTCCCAGGAAAAACCCTGATTTGAGGATCCGGCTTGGCTCCTGACCTGGACACCCATGTCTCAGTACACATCAGAGTCAGACCTGGTCTGCTGCAAGGTACTTAATAACATTTCAACAAAGACAATTTGATATAACTGGTTAGACCTATCCCAACATCTCATTTAGCAGTTGCTTGTCACAAAGTATTTGCTGTTATACACACATCCCTTTTTTTCCTGAAACATTCCCATATTCTTTGGAGGTATTCTTTGGCGTGGTATTACACGAGATGTAAAGTGAAACCTTGTAAAGCATTAGAATTTAAAACCTCGTAAAATTCCGCAATCTTATTGGTATCGTAACTATTTAGCAGATTTTATATATTCTTGTAAACAGCATAATCTGACATCTAATGACTACGTTACATGCCTGCATCATTTCACTTTACCAAACAGGAATTTTTGTTGTGACTCCGGCAAGTTCCCTTTGCCCAACATGCCCATTTCAAAGCCCAGCACCGTGGCCATTGGCTCCAAAAGGTACAGATTTTTTCACTCCAAAACTGGTGGGGATTCTTTTAAAAATTTAAAAATTCTTTTAAAAAGACTGTTTTCTTGACAGTAAGCCCACAGATAACCTGCACACCTGTAAACTACCCCTTGTATTTTCTGCATGTACGTGAAACAGCTCCAGAATTGCAAAGTGGAAGACACAGGGAAGGGGATTTTACTTCTTTTTTATGGGTAATTTGCATTTTACACATGCAAAAATATAGCATGAATTTTATAGTCCACCCTATATACACGTTCATCCACAACAAAAAGTCATACTTGACTTATGTCCATCTACCTGAACATAACATTTTGCTTCTCTTCAAAAAAAACACCTACAGAGATGATTTGTAACGTTTTCATCTTTATAGCTTACTTCCCATTTCATTACTTTGCTATCAAGTGAGGACAAAATTATTCTTTTTTTTCTTATTTCGCTTTGCCACCTTACATGTGATCTAATTTTAAGTAATTGAACAAACTGTGTCTAATTTCATGCAGCAAGCAATAATTACTAGACAGCCTCTAGCTATTGGAATTAAGAACTCTGTCTCCATTAAGAAATTTCCAATTGTTCTGGACTTTTTTCCAAATAGACAAGACGGGATAAAATTAGCCATGAGAATAATACAGTCACAGTAAAAATAATTGCTTTAAAAGTCCCAACCCGAAAATTCCTCAAACTGTGATATATTTAAGGGGTCATTTGATTTTTTTTTTCCCATCACCTAGCACAGCATAAACTTTTAATTTCATGATAAATCGATAATTGCCATAATCACATGACAGCCAGGACTTCACATAGCTAATCCCCCTTAGCTGAAGGTTCACAATGCGGCAGGCTTTTTAACTATGATTCAGTGTGGTTTAAAATATCTTAAATGCTGGGCATCATTATTATATAAGCTTTCTGTGGATCGTACGAGTTGTTCCTTTGTAAGCTAAAAAAAAAAAAAAAATAATAAAAATGACTTGACAAAGAATCAGCATGCCACAGGCTAGGTTGCTATAAAAACATTCAAAGCCTTGTTGCATTCCCACCCACAGGGCTAGGAAGGCCTGTGCTACAGGCAAAGGCAGACATCACATTGCAACAGAGAGAAAGGGGGAAACCCTGAGAACTGCCATTTTATGAAGAAATACGAAATTCAGTCGAAACTGTTGCTGTTGGTCTTTATTTCACCTGTGTGAGAACGACAGGTGCCTTCCAAAAGCTTTCTAATGGTTATTTAAAGGGATAAAGACACATGCAGAGAGATATGTGTATATATATTTGCATATATATGTATAATGTATTTGCATGTGTATGTATAAAAATATATAA